ATTTATTTATTGATTGATTGATTGATTGATTGATTGATTGATTGATTGATTGATTGATTTATTGATTTATTGCTCTTGAACCACATTCTGGACGTACAACTGGATGGTATTGTATAGGCTGGGCTGTTTTCATCATATCCAATAAAAATGTCTAATAATACACACGTTTCAAATATTTGCAGTTTGGCTACATTTGGCACGTTCTGTGAACATCTCATGGTGTTTTATTCTTTGTGTGTGTTTTACAGTTCCTGACCCTCACATAAACTAATGTTTGCATTAATAGTTCCATAGCTTGTCTTTGTTCCATCATTAACAAGCTGCTGGTGTTAAGAATTTATTTAATCACGTGACAGAGGGGTCTGGTTCTGAGCCTGTGACCCTGTAGATCCAGTTCACAGGATGAAGTCTGTCTGAGCGCAGCGGGATTCAGCAGGTCCTCACAGAAAAACAGAAGATGTCTTTAGCAGCCAGCAGACGGAACAGCTGCAGAGCGGTGCTGTGTGGGAGCCGGGCACCGTCCGAGGTCCACCCGGGCCGGCGGCGGGCCGGCAGCTGTCCGTACTTCTCTCCCGCAGCGCAGAGCGAAGAGTTCTCTGTGAGTCTGAACCAGCCCATGTTCGCCATCGCGCTCCGGTTCCTGCTGGCCGTGGACCTGTGGCTGTCCAAGCGGCTCGGAGTGTGCGCGTGCGAGGAGTCAGCATGGGGCAGCATTCGGCCTCTGGTTCGGCTGGTGGAGTTCTCCGGACATGTGGTCCCGTGGCTCATCGGGACCGTGTACTCTCTGCTCCGGGGGGACAGCACGGCTGAGCAGGAGGTCCTGCTGAATCTGACCCTAGGTGAGCCCTCTGAGCTCTGGTTCGTTTTGTAGAATCTTACTCTAAAAATTCAGAAACTACATCACATCTTCTCTATTAAACAATAGAAATAACTTTCAGCCTGGTTCATTTAGCTGGACTCTGTTGGTGCCACACTAACAGCTCGTGCGTTTTTACGCACAACTGTCTAGGAATTGCTACTGAAAAAGAACCACGTCTGGAGCTGCATCAGTCCCATATAGGGTCAGAGGGTCTGCTTCTGCCGGTGTTATATTAAGTACCTCAAAGTGATACTCGAGTAAAGGTACAAGTATCTTAGCATAAAATTACTTTGGTAAAACTTAGTCTCCTCTAAGATTATTGCTTGTAAGCAAAAGTCTTAAAGTATCTGATTTTCTTTGTACTTAACTATCAAAATTAAATTTACAACATAAAATGTACTTAAGTATTAAAACTTAAAGTATTAAGTAAAAATGAGTGGGTTTATTTTCCAAAATGAAATTTATTGAGAGGTGACCTCTCCAAGAAAACATGTTTCCTAAAGGCAGCTGTGATGGACGGTGTACAAACTAATACAGTGTCAGAATGGTATATATTTATACTGTATTTCTCATCCAACCATGATTAAATTTACTCTATCCAGGAGGTGCAGTTTATCAGCATATTTTATTTATTTATTTATTTATTTATTTATTTATTTATTTATTTATTTATTTATTTATTTATTTATTTATTTATTTATTTATTTATTTATTTATTTATTTATTTATTTATTTATTTATTTATTTATTTATTTAATTATGAGCTGAAATGAAATAGGAGTAACGACTTTCTACTTCTTACCTTTTTTAAAAAATGTAAAAAAGTACAAGTAAAAAGTAGGCCGAAAAATAGTTACTCAAGCAAAGTACAGATAACCAAAATTTCTACTTGAGTACAGTTACAAAGTATTTGTGCTGTATTTGTACAGGAGCCAGAAACAAACAGCTGCAGGAGAAGGATCAGACTGATCGTAACAACAGGACCAGTCTTCATGGGAATCATTTATTTTTGTCTCTTGGTGCTGTACCTTTACATTATACAGCTGAAATACCACAGCTATTTCTGGCACCCAGAAGCCCTCTGGATGAGTCTCTCTCTCTCTCTCTCTCTCTCTCTCTCTCTCTCTCTCTCTCTCTCCCTCTCTCTGTGTGTGTGAGTGTGTGTTTTATTACTAACTGCATCAACTGCCCTCACAACAAGAGGAAACAAATCAGACCCTGTAAAAGCAGAATGAATGCCCCAGAGACAAAGGTCAATGTTGAGGGTAACATTTCATTAGATTTATTAGAATTTTTTAAAAGTTGCTCTTTTAATATACTGCTTTTTAAATTCATTTTACAAACAGAACAGAATATACTTTTTGCTTCCCAAGAATGAAAAGAAATGGTATAAAAAAGGTAAAAACAACATATACATAGATATACTGTTACAGACTTTCCTGTAGATGTTGCCCAGTTTTCATTAACTGGTTCTTAAATCCAGAACTAAACAACTGTTGCTTTATATACGCTCACTGGCCATTTTATTAGGAACACCTGTAAAATTGCTCATTAACACAAATGTTGAATCAGCCAATCACATGGCAGCAACTCAATGCATTTAGGCATGTAGATATGGCCAAGACGATCTGCTGCAGTTCAAACCGAGCATCAGAATAGAGAAGGTGATTTAAGTGCCTTTGAACGTGGCATGGTTGTTGGTGCCAGACGGACTGCTCTGAGTATTTCACAAACTGCTGATCTACTGGGATTTTCACCCACAACCATCTCTAGGGTTAACAGAGAATGGTCCGAAAAACAGAAAATATCCAGTGAGCGGCAGTCCTGTGAGTGGAAATGCCTTGTTGATGCCAGAGGTCAGAGGAGAATGGCCAGAATGGTTCAAGCTGATAGAACGACAACAGTAACACAAATAACCACTCATTACAACCAAGGTCTGAAGAAGAGCATCTCTGAACACACAACATGTCGAACCTTGAGGTGTATGGGCTACAGCAGCAGAAGACCACACCAGGTGCCACTCCTGTCAGCTAAGAACAGGAAACTGAGGCTACATTTCACACAGGCTCACCAACATTAGACAGTAGGACATTGGAAAAATATTCCCTAGTCTGATGAGTCTGGATTTCTGCTGCAACATTCAGATGGTAGGGTCAGAATTTGGCATCAACAACTTGAAAGCATGGATCCATCCAGCCTTGTATCAACGGTTCAGGCTGGTAGTGGTGGTGCGGTAGTGTGGGGTATTTTTCTTGGCACACTTTGGGACCATTAGTACCAATTAAGCATTGTGTCAACACCACAGCCTACCTGAGTATTGTTGCTGACCATGTCCATCCCTTTATGACCACA